GTCAATAACTTCAGCTGGATTATCTTTAAATATAATTCTCAGAGGAATGGAACTTTTCTCCCGAATTCTTGAAATGTCACAGGAAACAATTTTGGTAAAGTCTTTGACTGACGAGTCTTTCTTGCTCCCTTTCCACAATAACTCATTTCTGATCCAAAAGAAATGCTTCACTACATCAGCATACGTGAGTAAAACTGTCTCTTTAAGTTGTACTGCAGTTCCAAAAACAGTACAAAAAGATTCACTTCTAGTTGATGTCCTCTTAGTCCAACATAAACAATGACTGATAAAGCAAGATTGACAAAACACATGGAACAACCAACTAATTAACAATAAAAAGTTGTTTAAAGATCATGGAAACCACATAATTACCTTACCATAAGCTAGAACCAATATGGTCAGATTAAAACCCGTTCTGCCATCTGTACCATATTTTGGCATTAAATTTGACATTAAAATTATTTGGAATTAAATTTGGTATGGGAAGCAATTTCTGGTTCTAATAATGGCATTTTTGACAAAGCAATTCATGAAAAAAAGTACAAAACCATTAAAAAGTCAGTACACATATTCACTTGAGGTGTGGAACCTTAAGATGTGAATATTTTGGGCTGAAATTTGGACACAAATTATTCTAGCCAATATGGAACCATATAATTCAAAAAGCTGTTTTTCCCGTTTTCTTATACAGTCAAAAGTCGTTAATCCGGACTCGTCGGGACTTCGGCGATTCCGGATTATAGATCATCAGTTTAAATCTAGTAAGATGGCATGCAGAAATTGCAAAATTAAAAATATGAAACCGTAATTTATGAAATAAAGAACAATTATGATCTAAAGGGTATCAAAATTTACAAAAAGAAAAAACTTAATATTTATTTGTTTACTTTATTAAACACTTCTTTCAATGTAAGTTGTTTAATTTGCTTCCTTTCATGTGATAATACTTTCTCTTTAATTATATTAAACACACATAATTTCTTGTTTAGTTACAAAGTTCTGCTGTTCAAGTCCTATAACTGCTGTGTTGAGAATATCGACTAATTTGTCAATCGAAATGTTTTCGTTTTCAATAACCTTTCTGTCACTTTCTTCACTATCGGAAGCGAATTATAATGACGAGGAACTTGATTTAAATCATATCAAAGACGGAGTTCATCAAGATGAAATACTACATTTAGTAAGGAATTATAAGCCAAATGAAATAAAAATATCTGCTCTGAAGATAAGGATAGTGCTGACAGATCAACTTCCAATTCATTGCGCGCCGCGGTGTTTCTCCTCCTTCCCTGCTGCAGAGCAGTGTGAAATTGATAAACAGATTTCAGATTTCAAAACATACTTTCGCTTTGTAGATCCTTTACATATTAATAAATATATATCGGAAATTCTATTTGGCATAATCGAAAGTTCAAGCTTACTTTTATAAAATTGCTCTAACAGTCTGCAAAAAATAATAAGCCAGATCCAATTCGAAGATTAAGGAACTACATAATCTGCAACATTATGCGTATTCTGCGCATTCGTCAATTCGACGCATGCGCAGAAAGTTTGTAGCTTTGAGGTCTGGATTATGGGTGTCCGAATTAACGACTTTTGACTGTATCATATACAGTTGACTTTCCAATGCCATACTCCTTGTATAATTTTGAGATGGATATACCTTTATCCATTTAAAGTTTAGCGAAAATGAATGAATTTAGCAATAATTTAATTCCATTTAAAGTTAAGGAACAGCACAATCTATTATATTAACTGAAATTCATTGGAATCCGTAAAGTACAATTTTAGCCTAGTTTAATAGCGTTCGCTGTACATTATTGGCTATGTATCATGAAACTGTCATTGAAAGGCCAGTTGTTTTGGTAAATTTTGTCTTGCTTCTATCATGCACTGAGATTATTAAGCCTGAATTGTATTAGTTATTTACTAGCCGCCACATCTAGTCTTCGTCTTCCCTTTAAATATATCAGAAAAATGACTAAAGGGAACACCAAACATTACATTTAAAAACTGAACAGAATTTTACTCTGCAGAACAACTTTATCAAGATATCAAACAACAACAACAAAAAGGGGAGAAAAAAAAGAAAAAAAAAAAAAAAAAAAAAACAGAAATTTCAATAAAAATGTATTATATATATAAAAAATTACAATGAAGTATGCAATACCCCTTAATACAAATGTTAATTATCCTAATAAATAAATTAACCAACTTCCTGTTGCAAAATCTTAGAATTCAAATGGTATAAAGGAAGTTAAGAACTTTATGAATTTTTGATATGAAATGTTTTGCATGATTTTTTTCGTGCAAAACATTTCATATAATTAAAATTATATATAATTAAAGCGTAATATAAAAAAATTACAGTGAAATAAGCAATAAATTTCATATTTTCAAGAGAAAACAGTCAGCAGTCCAGTATCCAAAGAAATGAATGAAAAACTGTAGCCAAAACAACATTTCTAAAAGAATGAAACTATCATCAGAAAGCAATAACCAATCAAAATTGCACTTTGTGGATGACATAATTCAAAATATACAAACCTCTTTGCCATTAGCTAATGGAGGGGGGGGAAAGGAAATTTTTTTCTGTTGTGCCTTGCGAGACACGTGCATGTCAGAATAAGAAGATTGCAATGTGCGTGTTGCATGTATAATTAATAATATTTTATCTCATATTTTCAAGTCAGCAGTCCAGTAAACAAAGCACTGAATGAAAAACTGTTGTCAAAACAACATTTCTAAAAGAATGAAACTATTCAAAATGATACAATTTCATTAAAAAAGATAAAAATATTTAAAAAAATCTGATTCAAACTTTGAAAATATCGCTTTGAGGTGCACTGGCTCTTCTCTAGATGCACTTATGTACCAAATTTCGTAGCCCTGGGTCTATTAGCTTATGCACAACAAGAACAAAAGACACACACACAGACTCTTTTTTTTATTATACGTAGAGATTATACTGTTACGCCATTTTCTTCCTTCACATTCGTACGGGGTTCATAGATTTGGAGTGAATAATGACACTTGATGAAGCATCGAAACACACTTTATTTACCAATATTAATCAGGACAGCTCCAAAACAATTTTACAGTCATCGAAGATCTACTATAAACCCGCTGGAACAATCAGCGACACAGCCTTTATATTGTCAGGCAATAAGAGTGGAGGCAGCTTCACTGCAAAGCACCAGAGTACAGCTCCCGACTCTGCTCGGTCGTTCTCGGAACTCCACATACTCTCGAGACTATCCACGTTACAAGTCGCGATGCACTCGATGACACATAAAGCACAGCTCCCGACTCTTCGGTTCAGTCGTTCCCAGAGCTCAACACGCTCTCTCGACGAAACACTAACCACGATACACTACGAGACTCTTTCGGTGCATTTGACGACCCACTCGGCACTCGCTGCCCGGCTGTCAACTCGATTGACTCACTAGACGAGACACCAACTCAATACTAACTATCTCGCACTCCAGACGAGGCACACTCTCCATACTAATTAACTGCAGACCAGCAGGGTTCATACAGCTTTCGGCTTGTGTTCAAGAACATTCTGGGCTAAACTGGTAAGAATTTGTTCTAGAAGGTTCTCCATCAGTCCATGGCATATCGCCAATTTTGTCGCCAAATGGGCGATTTCTCGTCAAATGTGGCAACCCTGCCTTCTTTTGCCATTTTATGGCAAACCTAAAACTGCTTTGCGGGGAACGACAACAAACTCTTATAACCGCTCCTGCTATTGAAAGCTTTGCGGGGAAGCCATCTCACCGCGCCTTGACATTTCGTAACAATACTAACATCTATTTCTTGCACATGCTTATCCGAGTCTTGAATAAATAAATTCGCACATATACGAGATGTGTTTTTTTAAAGTAAAGACCGTTTGAAAATAAAAACCAAATGAAAGAAAATTTTCAAAATCCAAATTTATTTTCAGATTCTACATACCCTCCTCTACTTTTCAACATAGTTGCCAAGTTTGTTTAAACACTTATTTATACCTTAGAACTAGATTTTGAATACCCTCTTCACAGAAACTTGTCACTTGCTCTGATAACCAAGAGGCATGGTCGTTTTCACATCCTAAACTAGGCACTTCAAAAAGTTCATTTGAAAGAGTGCTTATGGTGAAGTGTCTGTTCTCAATTTTCCTTTCAACTGAAGCCACCATATCATCTGTGTTCACAGATGGGCGATTGGAATGGAACTCATCATGGACATTGCCGCGGACAGCTTGACAAATCTGCTAATGAATGTCTGCAGTACAGCGTTTTCTTGCTGACAAAAAAAAAAAAAAAAAACGTATCACTGACCGTACCTTGCACGGGGTGGGCAATTCGATAACCTTGAACATTTTAAAGACACAGAACAGACTGTACATGTTACCTACACAACTGGAACTGAGCATATTTGTTTCCAAGGTATGCCGAGACATGACGCAAGCACTCATTGCCACCCGCACTGCACATATACAACAAAATGACCCTTACTTAAAAACACATTACATATTTATCGAGGGTCCCCGCTAGATATCTTACCGCCTGATGCAGTCTCTGTGGATCCTAAATTCTGCTACCAAACACCTGTATCCATACAACTTTCTGTATGGATACAGTTATTTCCCACAAAATCAATAATGGAGGCAATTGCTTTGAATCTGCAGATCAATGTCATGACATTTACCATAGAAAAAAAGAAAAAAAAAAAAACTCACTAGTAAGTAAATATATTGATTTTCACAATAAATACTTAATTAAAGCATAAAAATGCATGTAATAATAGGTACGTATGACATTGTTTTTTGCAAATATGTCATTATTCTCTTTCTTCTGTAAAAAAAATTTCAAACTGCAACAAGGTGGTTGTGCTAATATAATATGCAAGTACCATAACATTATTCATGATACATTTAAAATAAATCACTGTATTATGTTTCTCATTTCATCAAATTACACACATATATATATTTATATTTCCCAAATACATACCAAGATGACCCAAGCGATAATTAAATGTAACTACCACAACACATTGTGATGCTGCCAGCATATGACCAGGAAACAATGAACCACTACCATGATCAAAATTTCCATCGTGTATATAAAACATAACAGCAAATTTTCCTTGAATTGTTTCAAAACACCTCCCTTGTCCCTGAAAAGTATGCATATGCTAAGAAAATCTTTTCACCAGACACATAAAATATTTAAATTAAAATTTACAACTTTTATTAAAAACTGTTGCCTCTAATTAATCTAGCAAAAGATGAGGAAACTTAAATCTGTTATTAATTCAGAATTTTTACAACTGTTAAACAATACATTTTGAACTCTTTATACCACTATTTTCATAAAAAAATTACAAGAGAAATAAATTATTTTTTTCTTCTTGTGATTTATAAACATTGGTACTACTCTCTCTACGCCCTCAGGTCGCCAAATGTGGCAATATATGTTCTGCGCTGGTCTTTGGAGCAATTGCGTGTTCTGCGATGGTTTTGGTGGTGATGTTTGTATGACAACTCTTTTGGCATGGAAACTTGATTTTACTGCAGTGGTTTTATTTGCTGGTTGGTTCATGTGGTGGGCGTTTTGAAATGGTTTATGTTGCAATGAAAGACGTGGTGGCAAAATTTTTGTCGCGTGCCTGGTACAACTATTTTTCCGAATGGCTGGAAATTCTACAAGGATTTAGGAAAAGAAGGTTTTGAACATTTATTTGTGAATGATAGTATCAATTTTGTGGATAGTGAATCTGGCTGTCATATAAATACGATAGAAAGTACGTGGCAGAATGTTAAAGCTACGTTGCCCACTTATAATCAGAAATGCGATTTTGAATTTTATTTGGTGGTGTATATGTTTTTCCATTACTATTCTGGAATGGTAGAAAATCCTTTTTACAAATTAGTGAAATTGTAAGAATTGTTGAGTGGGATAAATTGAAAATTTGTTTGTAGAATATTTGATGAAAGTGTTTGTTTTTTGGTTTTGAATTGTCATTTTGATGATGTTTAAGATTGATATTTCTGCTGTTCAAAGAAGCATTCACAATGGTAAGTGCATTTTATTTTATTGTTGTTCATATTTTGTAGAATGTTATGCTCATTTTTTTTTTTACTTCCAATTTCTGTCATTATTGTTGTTTTTTGAATTGTTTGTAATTTATTTTAGTTTATTTTGTTGATTTGTACACAATGCCCAGATTGTGCAATTTGCTGATTTTTTTTAAGTTAAAACAGAATGCTGTGTACTATTGTTTGAAATTTATTGTTGTTATGTTAGTTTATTTTAGCGAGGTTGTGCATAGTTCGTAGATTCCTTCGCTGCATAGATTGTGGAATTCTCTGATATTTTTCAAGTTAAAACATATTACTGTGTACATGGATTCTTGTCAAATATTTTTGATTAAAAAATTTAATAGCAAATACTTAAATTTTTTATTTCAAAGAGTGTGTGTATTTTAATTATGTGTGTATTTAATTATGGCAAAGCACGCTAGGGCTATCTGCCTGAGGGGAGGGATGCCTTTCGTGGAGGACTTTCTAAGGGAAACTGGCTCGTATACACGTTACACATGGGGAAAACCACGAAAACGCCCATGCAGCCAGCCCGTTCGCGGGATTCGAACCTCGGACCGAACTACCAGTGTTCAGCGTCTTTACCGCTCGGCCGCTGGTGGGCTTTATTTCAAAGAGTAAACTGTGTGTTAAAACATAGTTTTTGCACGTGAGAAAAACCGCACTTTTGCAGACATTTTAGGCTTAATGTTCAAAACGTAGATAAATTTAGATAGTAATATGGTACCATGGAGTTTGAAATAGTTGATTAGAAATTTGTCGCCAAGCGAGAGCATACATAAGAGCAGTTCTTAACATCTAATTCTAAAACTCGTATTTGTTTTTAATGATTATACAAATTATTAAAATAATTAATAATTTGTAATTGATAACAAGTTCATCATAAAAAACAATGACTCTACTCTTATATGTGCACTAAGATCACCAAATGTGGCGATATGTGTTCTGCGCTGATTTTCTGCGCGATTGCGTGTTGTATGGTAACCCTTTTGAGATTGAAAACTCTTTTGCTATTGCTCGATGGTTTGTGTAATGCGTGTTTTGAAATGGCCTATGTTGCAATGAGAGACATGGTTGCAAGAGGGTCTGGGAGATTATTTTTAGTGGCTGTGCATGATAGAAGTAAGGAAACGGTGATGCAGTGTATTAAAGAGTGGATTCAGCCTTGTACAACTATTTTTTTCGGATGGCTGGAAATCTTACAAGGATTTAGGAAAAGAAGGTTTTGAACATTTATTTGTGAACCATAGAATGAATTTTGTGGATAGCGAGTCTGGCTGTCATATAAATACCATAGAGTGTACGTGGCAGCATGTTAAAGCTATGTTCTCCATTATGGTACATTACATCCATTATGGTAAGTGCATTTTATTTTATTGCTTTTATTTTGTAGAATGTTATGTTCATTGTTTTTTTACTATGAATTTCTGTTGGTATTGTTGTTTTTTGAATTATTTGTAATTTATTTTAGTTATTTTATTGATTTTTGTGTAATGCCTAGATTGTGCAATTCGTAGATGTTTTTTTAAGTTTAAACAGAATGCTGTGCACATGGAATTCTTTGAAACTTATTGTTATGTTAATTATTAAAGCGAGGTGTGCGTAGATTCCTTCGCTGCCTATATTGTGCAATTCATAGATTTAAGTTAAAACTTATTGCTGTGTACATGGATTCTTGTCAAATATTTTTGGTTAGAAACTTTACGTTTTTGCTATTTTTGGTTAGAAACTTTATGTTTTTGCTATCTAAATTTTTTGTATTTGTTTTGGATTTTTAGCTTAAATTGTGTGTTCAAAACATGGTTTTTGCATGTGCGAAAACCGCGTTTCTGGAGACATTTTACGCTTAAAGTTTAAAATGTAAACAAAAAATTTAGATAGAAATATGGCTCTGTGGAGTTTCTCGCCAAAAATATTTGGCGAGAAATTTGTTGACCTGAGGGCACATGTAAGAGTAGTTCCAAAACAACACATCATAAAAGAATACTTAAAATTTAAATGTATTTAACTTGAATTATTACTCTGGAGATTAGGTGCAAACAAACAATATATATCATGTAAGCAAAACTCATTTAATTCAAAAACAAATTAGAAATGGAATTACAGATACTTACAGGCGTAAAAATATTCAAGTACAAACAATCTTCATCAGTTGTATTGATGCCTTTTCCTTTCATTAAATACTTTGCATTCTGAGGACATGCTGGTTTATAATGAGGATCATTAATATCTGGAAATTTATCTTTTCTTTTAGGAGGCTAAAATTATAATCACATTATACATTATAAGAAACCACTAAAACTAATCCAAGTAAAAATCAAATAATTATATCGAAACGAAAAGTATACATGTTTTATTGTCAAAAGAAATGCTAAAAGATGTAATAAATATAATATAAATTTTAAGTTTTATGATTAAAAAAAACCTTCCTTTCCCTCATATCTGTAATGATGCTCAAAGCTCACTTCCGATGGATCTCTACATATAACATTTAATTTCTAATATTGCTCTTATAAATTATTGCAGCAGTAATGATTCCAGGAAATGCTGGTTTTATTTACTTTCTGAGAGGTATGATCACCTTTATTTTGTCATAAGTTTTTCTGTGATTTGATATACATCTTATTATTTAAAATATTTTGTTTACTAATTTTCTTTAATATAAATATTAGGTTAAAGTTGACTTTAGGGTACCCCTTGTATTATCGTGAAGTTGTTGTTTCATTTTATGGTAACCTGAGTAGTTGAATGTTATGGAAACCCTATTATGACATAATCATTTGCATTATTCCGGGAAATTTTGAATCATGGGATGTTTTGTAAGGGCTTTTGTGGTGTGTGTGTGGTTAGGAAATACATTGCTTGTTTCATTGTTTAGACGGTAGAATGGCTGAATGTAGTAAGATTAATTTGAAGTTTTTGTACAACAATTTGGAACGAATGGGGGAAAAGTGCATTAATTGACTGGTGCGTAAATGAAGGTTTTACTTAGTAGCCATTTTGGGGACAGTCTGAAATTATTTTTCTGAATTTATGTGGCGAAGCTGATATACAGATTCTAGTTCAGATAATTTTAGGAAGTTTTTGGATACTGTTAAGGAATTTTTTGTGCCACAGAGGTAAGAGGATATTTACTTTGTGTAATGCTTAAATGCATAATCCTTTTTTATGTTATTTTATTGTTTGGTTTAAAATGTAGTTTATTGAGATTATGTATTTTTTTGTTTGCCTCTACTGTAGAATTAGGTGCTCCTTTGACTTTTTAAGTGAAAAAAATATCGATATCTACTTAAACAAACTCAAGGGAGTGCGTAAAGCATAGTTTGTGCAATTCAGGGATTTTTTTTAGTGAAAATAGGTCGATGTGTACACAGATAAAATCAAGGCAGTGCACAATGCCATTTTTGTGCAATTCGGGGATTTTTTTTAAAAGTGAAAATAGGTTGATGTGTACATGGATACAGAGTTTGTGCAAATCTTTTAATTGTTATTCTGGCTTGCATAGCAGCAATTTTTGCACCAAAATTCGCCGCTATGCAGGCCAAAATAACAAGTCAAAGCATTGCACAAACTCGGTATCCATGTACTGCCAAATTTCGCCAAGGGGTATCCTAAAATATACTTTTACCAAATAATTATATGCGTGAAGTGTGTGTGAAGGATTTGGAGGATAATCGAAATATTAAAATTGGAGGGCCCAGAATGATTGTCGAATTGACAAAAGCCTTTTTATGCGTCGAAAGAATAATCAAGGTCATATCTTGCTACAAGGTCTTCGGTGGAATTTGACGGGAAAAAAAAAAAAAAAAAAAAAAAAAAATTCTAGTCAGAGTTCCAGACCGGAAGGCAACAACATTAATGCATGAAACCCAAAATAATATTGCTGAAAGCTCAATAATAATGTCAGATTCGTGGCTGGATATCAAACAGAAGAGCTCATTGCTGCCAGTTTTGAAGATTTTAAGGTGAATTATCGATACAATTTTCTTGACACATCTACGCAGACTCAAACTCAACACATTGTTCCGCAAACTGGAGGAACAAGCGACAACATGGGAGAAGCCGCCATCATTTGGATACCTATTTAGCTGAATTTATATGGTGGAAAAAACTGGAAACGGCTTTCGATGCTATTTTGAAAGCTATTTCCTGCCACTTTCCTTACCATTAACTTGTTTTCTTTTAACCAATTTTAAATAAGTTAGTTTCAATTTTTTTTAATTCATATTTAGTATATAGACATAAATATATTTATAATATGTATCAAAAGACGAATAGAGAATGTTTGTTAGATTCATATTTATAATATGTGTATATATATATATTCAGGATTTTTGGTTTTTAAGTTTGGTAAAAGTACGATTTTTGCGCCAAAAATTGCCGCTACACAAAGCCAAAATAACAAGGCAAACAATTGCCCAAACTTGGTATCCATGTACACATTGACTTATTTTCACTTGGAAAAAATCCCCGAATTGCACAAAAATGGCATTGCGCACTCCTTTGACTTTATCCATGTACACGTCGACCTATTTTCACTTTAAAAAAAAATTCCTGAATTGCATAAAAATGGCATTGTACACTCTTTTAACTTTATTCATGTACACATCGACCTATTTTCACTTTAAAAAAAATCCCAGAATTGCATAAACTTGCATTGCGCACTCCCTTTACTTTGTTCATGTACACATCGATATATTATCACAGGAGCACCAAATTCTACAATATAGGCAAACAAAAAATACATAATCTCAATAAAATACAGGTTGATCTTTACAATATGGTAACTGGTAGTTTGGCGACATTTTGGAGGCGATAAAGGTTACTACCTGTCACTTTGGTAATAATGTGAGCAGTACTCAGTTCCGATTACGCATTATTTTGTGAGGGAAATGAGAGATCATGGGATAATGTCCATGTGATATTAATGGACAATTACGGTTCTTTATTTAATTGGAAAAGGGGGGAAATCGGGAAAAATCTGGAAATTTTGTATTTGGCTTTATTCTGTGTTGTGTGAACCAGTGGTTCGTGAATTTTTGGGATCCCATGACCGTAACTAAGTGAATTCGAAATGGGTATTTATGTATGTATTAATTTTAATGTATTGCTCATTTATATTTTAATTAGGTTTTTGAATTTATTATATTTTAATTAAATGATAGTTTTTTGTGAATTTATGTTGGAGGAATTTGGTAACTTTTTAGTTGAAGTAACGGCAGGAAATAATTTAAATATCTGACACTAAGTTTGTAATGTTGCGGTAGAATCGTTGGTGACGTGTATAATGTAATAGATATTAGAGGTAAAGTTTTTGGATATTTTATTTTTTTATATGTGGAAATGTTCATTACTTTTTCGCGATCAGGTAATTTCATTATTTTTTTTTTACCGGGTTTAAGATTGAGAAATGTCATGTATTTTCGTTAATTTTTTCTAATATATGAGAAAAAGCATGTACATGGATATAGTGAAGAGTGTGCGCATGCATTTTGTGCAATTCTAGGATGTTTTTTTAAGTAAAAATAAGTCGGCGTGTACATGGTTTGTGATATTTTAATTAAATGATAGTTATTTTGTGAATTTTATGTTTGTAGGAATTTGGTACACGTTTTAAGTTGAAGTAAACGTGCATGGAAATAATTTAAATATTTGATACTAAGTATTTGTAATGCTTGCGGTATGAATTCGTTGGTGACGTGTATAATGTAATAGATGATTTAGAGGTAAAAGTTTTTGGATATTTTATTTATTTTATATGTGGAAATGTTCATTACTTTTTCGCGATCAGGTAATTTCATATATGTTCTTTTTACTGGGTTTAAAGATTGAGAAAATTGTCATGTATTTTCGTGAATTTTTCTAATATATGAGAAAAAAGCAGTGTACATGGATATAGGAAGAGTGTGCGCAATGCCATTTTTGTGCAATTCTAGGATGTTTTTTTAAGTAAAAATAAGTCGGCGTGTACATGGTTTAGTGATATTTTAATTAAAATAAATGATAGTTATTTTTGTGAATTTTATGTTTGTAGGAATTTGGTACACGTTAAGTTTGAGTAAACGTGCATGGAAATAATTTTAAATATTTGATACTAAGTATTTGTAATGCTTGCGGTATGAATTTCGTTGGTGACGTGTATAATGTAATAGATGATTTAGAGGTAAAAGTTTTTTGGATATTTTTATTTATTTTATATGTGGAAATGTTCATATTTGGAAAGGGTAAATACTTTTTCGCGATCAGGTAATTTCATATATGTTCTTTTTACCGGGTTTTAAGATGAGAAAATTGTCATGTATTTTCATGAAATTTTTCTAATTTATGAGAAAAAAGCAGTGTACATGGATATAGTGAAGAGTGTGCGCAAGGCCATTTTTTGTGCAATTCTGGGATGTTTTTTTAAGTAAAAATAAGTCGGCGGTGTACATGGTTTATGTGTATGTGTTATTTTTGAAAAACGCGTAAGGAGTATGGTATTGTGCACTTTTTCCCAATTTTGCAGTGAATATTTGTCATGATTAAGCAGTTTTGTTAGATAAAATTTCTAGCATAAGTGTAATTCGGCTAGTGGATTGTTGGAAGAAGTGTTCAGTAGATAAAAAGAAAAGAAACATGTCTTTACTTCGTGAAGACAAAATGGCGGCGGGGAAAAAAAATAGAGGGTTGCTGTAGGAGAGTTGGTCGCCAAAAAAATGCCAAGTTACCATAATGTAAAGATCAACCTAATCTTACACTCCATTCGGCCATTCTACCGTCTAATGAATCAAACCAACACACATCACAAAAATGCTTACAAAACATCCCATGATTCAAAATTTCCCAGAATCATGCACCCGATTACATCACAATAGAGTTTCCATAACATTCAACTACTCAGGCTACCATAAATCAAACAACTTTGCGATAAATCAAACAACAACTTTGCCATAATACAAGGGGTACCTTAAAGTCTACTCTACCCTTAAGTTTTTGTTCGTTTATAATAACTGCTTTTATTGAGACTCATACTTTATGTTTGTTGCACATTTATTTCATAACCGATATTGATTAACTGGAATGAGATTAATTTTTCTTATATTTTATATAAAAACACATTTTTCTATTCTGTTTGGAAATATTTACACACAGTAACATATAAGGTAGCTACATGGTAATTCCAAAACTAAAACTAATAACAATAAACTTTTGTGTCACTGACCATTTGAAGATAGGTTAAATTTTGGAAAACCAAGTTTCATTTTTTTTCTCTCTCTCTTTTATTGATCTGTGTTATTTGTATTAGGATGAATTATCTATAGTCAATATAAAACTCAACATTTTACAACTCAGTTACAGTATTAGAGAGTAAAAAATACCCTTCTTAAAATTCTGAGCAAGTTCTGGTTTTTAATTCCAATTTGGATTTTGGACAAATTTTAATAAAATGGCAGTCAATTCATTTTCCCAGGAAGCAGTTCTAGCATTGATTTGGATCACAGAGTAATAGTCTCTAGTACCCACTAGCTTCAAGGCTAAATGAAAGTTAACTGAATTTTCTGGAATGGCAAAATGTTAAATTTAGGAGTTTAATAGTTGTGAATTTTTCATCTAGTCTTCTAGTAAAATTCCTTTTAATTTAATCATTCAACTTCCTTCACGCTCTTCAGAATTTTAAGTGAAAATACTGGCTTTAATCTAGAAACTTAACTCCTTTTATTAAAATAAAAAATTTAGTAACACTGCATTTTATTTAAGACATGATCTTAACATTCTTGTATGAAACAAATACACAAAATAACTTCCAGTTAGAGAAAAGAGATTTGATTAATATTTCGATTTTCAACTGATGTAAATTTAAGGATACAAATAAATACACCATGGAAAAATTAAACTGTGATACATGCTTGAAATATAGCAAACGAAATTAAAATTCAGGACATTACATATGAGGTAAAAAAACCAGCATTCGCTTCATAATTACCTTGAATCGATTTTCATGTACAGGAGGTTCTGCATAAGGGATACCGAGGAAAACTCTAACGGAATTTCGACGGACATAAGCATTAGGATTCCCAGGACGAAATCTTAACTGAAGACCTGGAGTGTCACACAGACTAACTTCTCTACCACGGATATTACCATGTCGTGTTTCTCTCGTTATCTCAATAATTTCGGGCCTTCCTGAACACCTTTCATCATCAACAGCATGCTCAAATTCTGTATTACTGTACGTATGTTTACGAAATCTACTGTCATCTTGATAATATTTATAATTACTAAAGCGATCTTTTCCCAGCTGGGCTCGAACAAATGAGAAATTATCTAAAACGAAAATAAAAGCATAAAAATGCAACACATAATTTTTTTTCATATCTGTACATCGTTCTGCATCACCGACTGTAAACAAAACAAATACTTCACACCCAAATGAGACAGACAGACAAAGTAAAGAGATGTCTTATTTTGCGACCGTTAAGTCTTTCTGCCCGTAGAGCGAAAAATCAAGCTTGGAGGGAAGAATCTTCCAAGTCGAAATCGATTAGTAGCCAACTCCTACTTTAACCGTCTCTTTTCGGGGATATTTAAGGTGTCCATTTCAACAGGTTGCTCAGGTTGTTGTTGAATTGCTGTAGTGTATTGCGTTGAATAGTAGTATTTAAATTGTGTCCGTATAGTTGTTTACGAACACAATTTAAATACTACTATTCAACGCAATACACTACAGCAATACCCCTTATATCCGTATAGTTGTTTTGTATTGTGTTGTATTTAGCACTACTGATTGAGGTTGGTTAATTGTATTTGAATTTGTCATTGGAACTATTGCTGTAGTGTATCTTCTCATATTGTTGTCATTGATTTACATTGTCATGGGTCCTCCTTGAAAGTTACGATCGCTCGTCACGTTTTGCGAACTTGTGCGATTGGATTGTCTTGCTCCTTTTGGTACTTCTCTTCTTCCCCTTATATCCGTTTTCTCATGAGTTTTTCTCCACGCCGGATTTCTTTATGTCAAGTGCCCTTGGGCTTTAATTCTGGAACCGGCAACATTGCTCTTCGCAATAGCTCGATCAATTATAGAGTCTAAGTCTAAGATCGTCATTTCATAGTGTAACATCGACACCCCCTTCTTCTCCCGGACTCAAGTCACCGTCCCACGGCATCCGAAAGCGGCCGATGCTATTCGCACCACCGGTGCGATTAGCCACTTAAGCTATTCGCACCAACATTAACCACGCATGCGCATTGAGTTGTCAAAGGGCGGGTTTTTACCTTGGCGTAGTTTATCATTTTTAAACGTTGGCGACTTTCAAAAGTTTAGAAAGGAAAATGGGTTCCTTTTTCTTATAAAAAGAAGGACACATTTCCTTTTATTAAAGTATATAATCTAAAAAAAGGACAGATTTTTATGTTGGAAATGTTTATCCTTTTCCTGAACGGTTTGAATAGTTTAAATGACTGATTTGAAGGGAGGGGGGAAAAATCGTGTTGACATTTTTTGTACTTCTTAAAATACATTTAGCTTTAAAGATGTGTTTTGCTCAATCAAGCTTTTAATTCAATCCTCTTTGAAAAATTTCGTCTGATAAAAGATACTAAAAATAAGACAGCGGATTTCTGTGCAGAATATTTAGACATGAAATAAATTAAAAGCGATTATATGAACTATTAAATGAATTATTCTGTAGGCCTGCTTATTTTTTAAGGAAATACTTGGCATTTTCAGGACACAAAAAGTGCTTCAAAGAACTTTGAAACATTAGTACAAACACATTAATCAATTAAATTTAAATACATAATGGGATGTAATTTAAAAGACAGAAATAATTTAATGTAAGAGATTTAGATTTAAAAATTTGCACACTCAAATGATTTATCAGATTTTGTAAGGTTTTATTTCATAAAAACTTTGATTTTGAATATGGCATTTGAACCTATAAACCTGTGGGATACTGAAAAAGTGATGAATATATAAGAATATTATCATTTTCAGTAATTTTTCTTATTGAACAATAAATTCTGGCAGTCCTATGCTATAAGAATAGGGACTAAGTTTGCATATAAATTCCTCTGTTAAATAAACGAATTTAAGTAACTTCTGTAGCCTTTTTGTCAATACACTAAAGATTTTTTAACTAATTACTCGTCCTCGCTTGCAATTAGAACCATCATTAAATCCCTATTTTATCTAAACAGTTCCTGAACGTTATCATGCATATAGATTGATTTTGTCTTTGTAATTGATAATTATTACTTGAAAATTATTCTCTTGCTGGTGAACTATTAACAACCCTTTCTATTGCTGAGTAAGGGTTAACAACCTTCGCTCTCACTACCGCCCAAGACCAGTAAAATACTTTCTCACCAAGATCAGTAAAATACTTTGCTACCGTCTGCCTTACAGAAATCAGCGTAAAATGCTGGTACCTGGGCTGCTTGTGCACATGTGCGAACGTAGGTAGTGTAAATAGCCTGTTAGCTATTCGCACCGTTGGTGCGATTAGCCACTGCATCCTATCACATACGTTATTTGTTGCTGGAACACCACGTCGAAAGAAGCATTTCTCGGAACTGCGGTTCCACGAAAACAGTTTACCATCTTCACTTGGTAAACAGATTTGAAAGCCAAACAGGAATCAATCATCGCTTAAATTGGCAAAAGAGAAGTTTGCTTTCAAATTCCGTGTATATATAAAATATATTTTGTAATTATTTTAATACTGTTGGCTCAATACCTTGGCAAAATGACGTGTTTATTACATTAATTGTTACTTTTAAATTGTATATTTTTTTACTCCGATTCTTGTAATGATCTGTTGTATATATATTTTTTAAATACTTTTACATAGTACATTCAGTGACTTGTCATTATTTCTTATTTTATTATCATAAGCAATATTTTTGTATCGATATATTTATTTAATAACTTTTATGTACACAATATAATGTTATTTACTGATATATGTTTTGTGATGAGTGAAAAATATTATTTTATCCCCAAAATGTTAAATATTTCGTAAATGTTACTTGCTCAGTTTTTTTTTTTTTTTTTTTTTTAAATTCTTAAGTAAATTACAAATGCAAAGGTTGTGCGTAAATGGATTAATTTGAATGACTAGCCTTATGCAAAAAATGCACGTCAATTACTTTTCAACTGTGTATTATATATCCATGATATTGCGCAAAGAACTGACGACTACAGTTGCTGTTATATGAATTACATGATAGTTATATGAATACACGATAGTTATATGAATACACAATAGTTATATGAATACATGATAGTTATATGAATTAGAAGTAACTGCAAAATAAATTTTCTGGCAATGTTCATTTTTGTATTCATACACACATCTAATAAGTCATCTATTTACACATACATACAGAGAGAGATGCGATGTTTTAGAAGTTGATGTATGTTTATTAGTGGCAATGTTCATTTTTGTATTCATACACACATCTAATAAGTCATCTATTTACATATACATAAAGAGAGAGAGAGAGAGATGCGATGTTTTAGAAGTTATTGATGTATGTTATTAGTGGAATTGTTCATTTTTGTATTCACACACATCTAAAAAGACATATATTTACATACACATAGAAAGAGATGCGATATTTTAGAAGTTGTTGATGTATGTTTATTAGAGTAAAAGTATAGTTTAGATTGGCGATTTTTGGAGGTACATGGATACCGATTTTGTGCAATTCTTTGACTTGTTATTTTGGCTTGCGAAGCGGCGATTTTTGTGTCAAACATCGCCGCTACACAAAGCCAAAATAACAAGACAAACAATTGCACAAACTCGGTATCCATGTACACATCGACTTATTTTCACTTGGAAAAAAATCCCCAAATTCCACAAAAATGGAATTGCGCACTCCTTTGACTTTATTCATGTACACTTCGACCTAGTTTCACATAAAAAAACAAAAAACCGAATTGCACAAAAGTGGCATTGTGCACTCTTTTAACTTTATACATGTACACATCGACCTATTTTCACTTTAAAAAAAAATCCCAGAATTGCAGAAACTTGCATCGCGCACTCCCTTTACTTTGCCCATGTATACATCGATATATTTTCACTTAAAAAGTCAAAGGAGCACCAAATTCTAAAATATAGGCAAACAAAAAATACATAATCTCAATAAAATAAATTGTAAACCAAACAATAACATAAAAAAGGAAAAACATGTTATACATTTAAGCACTACCAAAAGCAAATATTTACTTACCATGATTTTCGAATTCGCTTTGTACACCCAGAGCCATGTAAAAGTGAAAATATCAATCATACTCAAATGACGTTTTTTCAAACCAGGTACTCTTTCTGATAGAACGCTTCACATAGTGATCATCTAAACCCGTGTTTCCCAATGTGGGGCCCAGACTGTTAAGGGGGGGGGCAATTCCAAAATGGACTCGTCCAGAGTTTAAGGGGACAAAGGACACTCTAAATATGTTTCATGAAGTCAAAATTTTTCGAAATTTCATTTTCATCCCCCAAACTAAAGAAAAATGTAAGTGATGTATACGTAAAAAAATTTTTAAATTGCGGTGCATTTTAAATATTTTATAAAGAATTCTCGCTGTAGACAAGGACATTTAAATGCTTTTAAAGGCATTTAAATAACTGACACATTAAGGCTCGTCCACACGAGGACGCTCCCGACGTAGTTGACGTAACTTTTTTGACGGCAGCATAAATTCGCGTGACGCAGAAGACGTAAAACTGAGTACGCTCCTGTTCAGCTTTTTTGCCCGCGACGCGCGCGTATAGCCAATAGCCGACCGAGTTCTTATCACGTGTCATAATCAGAAAACCTTCTTGCTTACCCGTTTCAATATGGCGTCAGAACCACACAGAGATGAGTTTTTGCTTAAAAATATCATAACTGTATACAGCAATAAAATAATCAGCAGTGTTCACGCCATCTTCAGATTTCTCAAACCGTACATATTGGTATACATTTAAAATTCTCGTTCAAGGGGAAAACTGTATATTTATAAAGCAATAATCTGACCAGTATATCCATATTCTTCACCTATTTATAACACCATAAGTAATATGAACCTAAATAAATTACAGTTTCTACGAAATCAAAGTTTCTGCCTTACAAAATTATCCTTAATTATTATAAATATTTGCTATATCATATGTAATAAAAAGCTCTATAAATATCCCAATATTAAATACACCAAACACTAACTTCAGCAATATAACAACTTCTAAAATAAAGCAGTTGACTGTGAAAGAGTATTCAATAAAATACAATTACGAAATTTTGGAGGAAAGTTACAACTTGTGTCATACAGCAATCATTTATTGAAGTTTAATTAAATTACCTTTGCAGCGACTTCTACTTGTTACATTATTTTTCACAAACACTGCTATCACAGATAGCTGAGTGGTCAGCGCGCTG